GTATTTTATGCAAATGTTTGTAAAACTCATATTATTTGTATTGTATTCACTTTATCTATAGCCTTGACGAATTGTACACAACATTTCTTGTCGATCATAATAAACTGATTATTATTATTATTATACTATTACACAGAATCTGCAACAACATTTTCAACCGAAGGACAATGAAATAGTAAAGCGTTTTCGATTCAGGAAACGTATACAGAAGCCTGGCGAGGCTATTACTACTTAACTTGCCGAACTGCGGAAGCTGGCTGAAGGATGCAACTTTCAGACCTTGGAAACGGAACTGAGGGATCAGTTAGTAGTTGGAATAAGCGACGAAGCTTTACAGAGGAAACTGCTTGCAGACTGAAATTCCACTTTCAAAAATGCGTTGGAGCTAGGAATAGCCATGGAAGCAGCAAATAAACAGGTGGAACAGATAAAAGATAAGACGGTATACAGAACTGAAGTGAGGAAACCTTGAGCACCACCTGTAAGCAACCCATCAGGAATCAGCAATCACAAACTGGAGAATTGCTGGGCAACCAAAGAAACCTGCCATTATTGCAACAAGACAGGCCATGTAGAGTATGTAGAGTAGTATTGTGTCCATTTAGTGCGTAATTCTTCCATATCTCCAAAGTCATAACCTATAGAAAAAAAATTTGAAGGAAAAACTTCTCCAGTTACTCAAGTTGCTTATTTCAAAAATATTTTCAACATTACTGGGTGTTTTATAAAAGCGGGATGACCCGGAGACCAGTTTTTTCATATGGAACACCCAGTATTGTTTATTTGGAATTTATTCCGCTTAGATTTACCTTCACATCGCTGTAAAAAAAATTGAAATCGGTTACGGCGTTGTCAAGTTATAATTGATAGATCTATTCTTACCACCATTGAAGAGTCATGTTGAATTGGGCATGGTATATTCATTTATTTAAATAATGAAAACATTTTTGGCATACGCTAGTAGCAAGGTCTCACGTATACAAATCGAGTAATTTTGCGACATGTTCTTAAATAGGGTGCTCAATTATGCATTTAGAATTTCGCAAGATTCAGATGACATTCATTAGAATTTTTCAAATGGAACACCCTGTATTTTTTTTTTCACAAATTTATTCCGACACCTCTCACCTTTTTATCGCTGAGAAAAAAATCATAATCGGCTGCGACGTTGTCAAGTTATGGATAATTTCCTTATTTTTATTACTATTTCGGAGTATAATTTTTAAGTCATAGTTCTTTCATTCGAATAATCAAATTTCTTCATTGACCATTCATATTTTTTTTACAATAGGAATTGCACACTCTCCAAGTTTGAATTTAAAACAAAGTGGGTTTGACAAATTGATCCAAAATGCTACTTTCACAGATTTTTTACAGACACCGAATTAATTTTTCGGAGTACACTTCCATTATTCGTGTAATGACCTGTCAAACATCGCCACAATCAAATATATCTTGAATTTATTTAAAATTTTGCTGAATTCCCTCCCGAAATCCGCGTAGAGAAATATTGTTTGTATCATTATGTAGAGTTTGCTTCCTTCAAGTTTGATGGAGATTTGGATTATGGGAATAACAACAATAAAAGTGATCCAAATTTTGAAAAATTGCCCTTATTTTCGCAATTCAAATCCTAATTGTTTGTATTGTAGAAGTTGTTTTAAAATTTTGACAATGCTTACTCCGCAAAAATAATGATCTATGAAGAACCTCGAATGTCATGTGGCAAGCAATATTCCCACACTTAAATCAAATAAAGGAACCATGCCTTATAAGTTGCCCTGAGATAGTGATAAACATAAGGAAATTACTCATAACTTGAAAACACCGCAACCGATTTCAATTTTTTTGTCAGCGATGAAAAGGCGAATGATGTGGAAATAAATCTGTGATGAAAAATACAGGGTGTTCCATTTGAAAAAATCTAATGAACGTCGTCTGATCTTACAATATTCAGTGTAAATTTTAGCACCCTGTAAAGGATAATCTCGCAAAATTACTAGATTTGTGTACGTGAGACCTTGCTACTACTGTATGCCAAAAATTTTTTCAAAATTTCAATTTATGAATATACCATACCCAATTTAACATGACCCTTCAATAGTAGTAAAAATGGGTTTATCAATTATAACGGCAACGCCGCAACCAAATCCAATTCTTTTCACAGCGATGTAGAGCTAAACCGAGCTAAAGCTTAGCGGAATAAATTTTGAATAAAAAATACTGGGTGTAGTAGTATTCTTCGTCGGTTCTCGTAGATAATTCATAATCTACGCATTTCCTAGGAGGAACAAATTACACTGCCATTTGGAGGAGTTCTGGCCATGTGAATTATTGTTTCTATCAGCGTGTACTCCGATTCTTGAATTGTCACAGTACTCAAGTATATTTACATCAAATAGGTAAAATAATGTTTTTCATACCTGCCTCTTGTTATTCGTTAGTGGAGGAAAAAAACAAGTTTCTCTCATATACCACCAGAAAAAGGATGAGAGTACTCTGGAGCGGACACGATCTGCTCCACCTGAACCATCATCATCTCAAGAACCGGATCCTTCAGGGTATCATCCCCCGTTAAACGACGATGTAGCGACGCTTAGATTGTAGATTGTAGGGATTAACCTTATCTAATAATGGACATCTATAACACCAGACTTCTATTGAAACCTAGGATTTTCTTGACGGTCACGATTTCCATCTCAGTAAGCGACAGCTAGACATGTTCTAGGTGAGTCAGCCATTGACGGACTAGTGTTCTTGCTCGTGGATGTAGGACAATCAAGTAAGGGGCTACAGCGAGTAAAAAATTGATCAAAGTTGAGTACTTTGCAAAAAATAACATTCTTTGTCGTATCACGTATTACTGGAGAAAACACATCATAAACGAATTGAAAGAGCATCGAAATTCCTATATAGAGCCCATGTGAAGTTAATATGCGAGAAGGTGAACGTATGTTTGAGCGCTCGGACATGGAGATGTATGCTGGTCTTAGTAGATTTTAATGAAAATCTGATAATAACTACTCAAATTATCAAAATATCAATCATGATAAATAGGTATTGAAATAAATCTTCATGGGTTCCAGGGCATGAGGCAGCTGATTCCCTAGCAAAACAAAGAGCATAGTCGATATTCTGTGGTCCTAAGACTTTCTGTAGAACAAGCAAATGTCAACTAATGGCAGAGCTCACGAAATGGAAAGAGAGCGAAAAATCCTCCTACTGGTGAGCAATTCCAGTTCAACGAGAACAAAAAAGGCCATCAACAATTACTGAGTCTCAGCAAACCAGAGCTAAAGCACTGTCCTCTGAGATATTACTAAAAAATGAGTCTAGCGGAGACTTAAACTTAAACAGCGGAACACATACGTTGCTTATGCATGTAATATTCTAGTCCGCTAAAACAGGTCTACTGAACGCCTGCAGAGGTGAAAAATTTAACCATCAAGAAAATTCTAACTTCCATCAGGAGGCTAGGGTTAGAAAGACAATTTTACATGATGGTACCCTGAACAATCCGGTTTCGAAGGTGGTGATGGTGCAGGTTGAGCAGATCGCATTTGCTTCAAGGTAATCTCATCCTCTAATTGGTGGTATATGAAAGACACTTTTTCTTCTTTTTTTTTTCCTCCGCTAATGAAGAAGTAGGTGTGAAAAATATTATTCTACCTAGTTGATATAAATATACCTGGGTACTGTGACAAATCAAGAATCGAGTTACACGCTGACAAAAGCAATGTTATATGATCAGGACTCCTCAATATGAGGCAGTGTAATTTGTTTTTTTCTAGAAAAGCGTAAATTATGAATTATCTGTGAGGACAGATGAAGATCACTATTTTTTGCAAAATACGCAAAGTTGGTCTTTTCATAACTTGCTCTACCTCCTTACCTGTCAGGCCTAAATTCATGAGCGAAACATATATATATATATAGAAAATCTATTTGCTAAAATGTATAGATTCCGAGGTTCGGGCAAAAAAACTGAAAAAAGTGCGAAAATTTCGCTGTTTTTTGCGAATATATCGGAACGCTTCAGGAAATTTTGTTTGCAAACTTTAGATTCAGATTCAGCACCCCCAAAAACAGGGGATCGTAGGGAAACCGACTACTTGAATCCAAGTGCTAATACCATTTTATTGGGCTAGTAACAGTGTTGAGTTGTAATCAAAGTAGTCAATTGTTAACAGAAGTGAATTATTACTTAACATTCTTCGAAGTTTTATCTAGTATGCTGCTGCTGTATTCTGTTTAAGCTAAATTTGCTGCTGTTGAATGGACGTGTTCGGACTCATAAAAAGGACTAGAGGTATTTTAGATTTAGTTTATTCAAGGTTTTCATTATTGTGCCTAATTTGCAATAAACCTATTTGTGTGACTTTCATATTATATTATCGACACCCCTTTCATAATCTGTACTTGCAAACTCACGTACGCTTTGAGATATAGAGTCCAGTTCAACATTCAGTCACAGTTCAAGGATAGTATTCCCTAAACTGTGATTTAATTTTTCAGGAAATAGTCGGACGTAAGCAGCCAAGGTGGTTGGACGTCTCGAGCTTTGTTGCTTCAACATGAGTTTGTAATGGAGATTCGAGTTCAAGAATAAAAGTTGTTTTTAGGTGGGGTTTGTTGTATGCTTGAAAACTATCAATGCACAAGACTCATCAACTTGAAAAGGAGATCCAGAGATCATTGTATACACTGCACTAATGATAACGTAGAAAAAAATTCAGTTTTTTCAATATAACTGCCAAACCAAAATCAATTATGTAAATTTCTCAAGGTCTTTGGTATGGCCCTCGGAATGCGCAACTTTTTTTCTCCTCAACCGTTTCTTATCTACCTCCCGTTTCCGAGATCACACTGTATATCTGAATCCATGTTCTTTACATCTACATCTTGATTAACATAGAATCAAAACCATAACATCTAGAATTAAAACATCTAAACCAAAAATAAAACTGTGAATTTTTAAAAGAATTGAATTATTCATTCACCTGAATAGTAGCCATGTCCCCCTCCAAACGGATAATCTCACCAACTAATTCATAATAGCCAACTCGCACCAATTCGTACATGGCAGATCCAGACATTTTTTCAGCTGTAACCACTGTAATTGAAAAGAATATGTATACATAATGTTTCATAACCTGTGGAATGCATCCCGAGAGGTGATAGAGCGTCTCAAGAAAATGAAAAGATTCCATAAACATAAAAGGCTTCGTTTGCGAGATGTAGTGCTGCAATTCCAAAATAATATCTATCATGGTTATTGAGTAATCTGAGCAGATGACTTGAATGGCAGATGTCTTGAATGGACTATCTGATAGCTACATAAAATTTTGGAGTTGAATTTTGGTTATTCCGTGTAACTCAACAAGTTTCAAGAGTTGGTGCTTTTTTCTTCAACAATACATCCTCTTTCATATTTTCAAATAAAGTTTCGAAAAGTTTCATGGACACCTATGTTTTTTCCACACATCAATACATCTTAGCTGTGGCACTGTGGGGTCAGATCTACTAAATAATGCTACCGATTCAATCACCACCACCATCAGTACATCAAGAATATTTGTTGAGCAATTATTCAGCAAACAATGAAAATTATTTGTTATTTTCTTTTAGCAACTCTTTTCATTATTTTGAGACTCCCTTTCCCCTCCACATATTACGAAAAACCCTGTATATTATTGGTGACATTGATTATAAGATTGGTCCTGAACATACCTGGACCAGAAACAGCATGCACATATCCATACTGACTTTCCTTTTCTTCATCTGCTATCAATGGTAATCTTGACATCTTGAGAATAGGTTAAGCTCTGCAAAATAAAGAAAGTAGAGTTTTAATAACGTTCGTATACTTCAGGAGGTGATTCCACAGATGAAAATAAAAATAAATGTTCCTTTCAACATGTGTTCAAAATGCTTCTTAAAGGCTTCACAGCCCTTTGAAGTTAGGTCCTTAAATGCGGGGTCCTTCAATTATCTTTGTTACAATTGAACCTAGAATCACGAAATTTGGTAATCAGGAGTGATTTGATCTTAAAAATTGTTTCGTGGTAGGAAAATATGATATAATATAAAGGGATATATTTCTTTATGTTCTGGTTCCCACTAAAAGGGATATCCTGTTATGTTCAGAGCACATCGTGAGATCCAAGAGAAATAAGGTAGGAATTGGTGTTCTTCATAAATTTCTGGAGGTTATATGCCTCGGGGAACACCTCCCTTGGCAATGTGTTCCATAGCCTCGGTGTTCGTTGGATGAACAGTTTTTGGAAAGTGATGTTCTGCAGGTCGCCAAAGTGACCTAGAAGGGGTGCGAAGCCTCAACTCGACGGGTTGATCTCACGGGGAGCATCGTTCATGAAAATATCTATAAAATAGAGCCAGATCGCCAACTTTTCTACGGTGTTCCAGAGAAGTGTGTGAATTTGTGAGCGAGGCATCACCCACGAGATGAATTGTCCTTTTTTGAACAGAATCCAACAGTTTCAGGGTATGTTCGGGTGCTGCACTCCAAATATGGACACAGTATTCCAGGACTGTGCCTTATAGATCATAAGCAGCTGACTGGAAGTGAAATAGCTCCTGGCCCTAAACAGAAAACCAAGTTTTTGGAATGCTCTTTTAGGAATTGATCTCACGTGATTTTCCCAAGGAAGGTTATTGCTGATAGTAATACCAAGAATTGAAATGGATGTCTTCAAAGAAATGGTTACTCCTGACAAGCTCATGTTGGGCACAGTGAGATCGGCTTTTCTAGAGAAAATGCATGCTTGTGTTTTGTTTGCATTGAAATCTACCAAGTTATTTTATCCCCATTGGAGAATTGTTGCCAAGTCAATATTTATGTTGTCAACATTTCTCCCTCGTTCGTTTCTGATTTGCCTGGCTGGTATTGGAGCCCTCGAAGAGAAGGTGGTATGAAGGGTACTATCATCCGCGAAGCTGCGTACTGGACATGAAGTTGCTTCAAACAAATCGTTGATATTGAGTAGAATAGTGTTGGTGCTAGAATTGATCCTTGCGGAACACCGGCATTTATGATGAGAGTCAGATGAAACTCCGTCGACCTCTACATGGAGAGACATGTTTGAGAGAAATCTAGCTAGCAGAGATCATAGCTGGGGAGGCAAGCCATAAGATGAAAGCTTGGCGAGGAGTCCGTGGTGCCAGACTCAAATGCCTTGGAGATATCAAGTGCCACGGCTAAGGTTTCACCATATTTTTCAATAGATTGCTGCCATATTGCCTATCGTTGATAATACCTGAATGTTCCAGGTATTTCATGAGCTCGATGTTGATAGCTTCCTCCTTGATCTTTGAAATAATAGATAGCAGTTCGATCGGTCTGTAGTTGGTAGGTAGGGTCTTTTTCCCTTTTTTAGGAACTGGTTGTACTCTTGCAATTTTCCAGTTGGACGGTAATATCCCCAATTTGAAAGAGTAGCTGAACAACTTGCAGAGAACAGGTGTTCGGGAGCACATTTCTTGATAACAATCGGTGGGATTCCGTCGGAGCCACAAGCATTGTTGGTGTTGAGACCCAATAAAATCTTCCTTATAGTACGTTGGCGAAAGGTGATCTCGGACATATGACTGTCATTTGGCGTTATGTTTGGAGGTTGTTTTCCCGATGAATGCGCAAAAATGTTGACTTTCTCCTGGGCAGTTGTGTCTAGTGATCCATCTTCCTTGGTTAAAGGAGGTAACGAGCTGGAAGTGAAGTTTCTTCCTACAGCTTTGACGAAGGACCAAAATGAACGGGATCCGTTAGGACATGCAACAAGTTTTCATCTTATTTTGGGATTATGAGCATCCTTTGATGATCGATTTGTCTCATTGCATATGCCTCCAGCCTCGACCTATTCTGCTCTAGTCCCAGGGCCTGGATTTTTCTGCCATCGATTGAATGCTGCCTGTTTGGAAGCGACAGCTCTAGAGCAGTTTCTACTGAACCAGGCCTTATCGAAAGATGTTCTCCTTGCAGTGTTCGGTATGTAGGTTTGCATCCTCAACATGATGATTTCAGAAATTGTCTCAGCACATCGTGTTGGATCTGATGAGAAGAAACAAACTCTCTTCCATGGAAACGATGGAAAAAACATACGAAGACCTTCCAAGTCGGCGGAATTGTAATGCCGCATGAGACGGGTAGGAATTGTGGTGCTGGATGGTACATGGAAAGAGCAGGTTGTGGAGATGAGGGTGTGGTCAGAGTTTTCAAGTGGGGCACAAACTTCTATTTTAAATGGATCAGAATTGCTGGTGAGAAAAAGATCTAGTGCACTGGCAGACTGGTTGTTGACATCTGGAATGCGGGTTGGTAGTTCGACTAGTTGTTCTAGACCATGAGTGATGGCAAAGGCCTCAGTTTGACGTCCTACATCATATGTTTTGTTAGAAAATTTGAGCCAGGTTGCGTTATGTACATTGAAGTCTCCCATGATTATGATTTCAGCTGTTGGATGGTTCTCCTGGATGAAGTCCAGTTTGAGTGATAAAAACTCAAAAAGATTGTTATATTCATTATCATCAGGCGATAGGTAAAGGCAGCAGATAAATTTGGTCAGTTTGATATCGACTAGCTTGAACCACATCACATCAAGTATTTCAGTTCCAAACTCTCTACACGCTGGCATGGAAGGTTAGCCTTAGCGTAGATGCGTAGATGCTATAAAAATGCCCCAGTTTTTTTCATGATTCATTTCATATTTATTATACTAGAATATGAATCTTGAAACACTTTTACATACGAAAGATAAGATTTCCGTTAAACAAACTGTTCTCGAGAAAAGTGTCGTTATTCGTTTTTATATTCGAAAAAATTCACAATGATTCTGGGCGTTTGATCTTATGATAAAAAAAGTGGAGCTTGATAATTAAAATCCAGCGTTTTCAGGTAGTTTTGTTTAATTAGTTCATGACGTTGATTTGTAGAGAAAATATCCACAATGAAAATTCGCCGAAGAAATTTCCTAACTTATTCACTAAGTGAATTTTTGTGGATATCAAAATGAAATACTACAATTATCTCGAAAACTGTTCGTTTTACGACATATTAACAAATGTGCCATTTATGTAAAAGTGTTTGAAAAATCATATTCTGGTACTAAACATAAAATGAATCATGAAACAAAAAAACTTGGGGCATTTTTATTGTATCGGTTACGAGTTTCGTATCTCCCTGTATATAAAATGATATTTTCCGAACCAAGAAACGATTTGTGAGATCGAATAACCTCAAGGTAAATTCGCGAATCTAATATCAAAAGTAACAAAGATCATTAAAAAACACTGCTTTTTAGGGCTTACTTCAAAAGGGCCGCAGCGCCCTAAGGAAGAATTGTCGGACACAGTCATGTTGATAGGAAATTTTCTCCTCAATTCAATCTGTAGAATTACATCCCGGAGTAAATGCACGTTATTCTGGGACACCCTGTATACCTTCTGCTATGAAATGATATTATTACGTGTGTTCACGCCCCACCTCTTTTGTTTAGTAAAGTTATCTAGTATCTATAGTTAAAATTAATTTTCTTTCCATGCAAAATCATATTATTAAAAAATTCCTTATATTGATATCTCGGCGATTGTTCATTGAGAATATTAATTTCCCGGCGATTGTTCATTGAAAATATTAATTTCCTTGTATCTCAATTCTCGAATATTCCGCGATATAGTCAAATTCTGCGCAGTGGCCGAACGTGTGCCAGTTTCGGCCGAAAAGAGAAGTACCTCTCCATGCTCGGACAAGGTACCGCTGTGTCGCGTAAAATATAAAACCCGGCAATATACCTACTCAATCAAATCCAAAACCCCTCTCAATGAAAATTTAGTGTGTGAGATTCTCCCAGAAATACAGTTCACTTCCCAGAAAGCAGGAGATTGGTGGTTGCAACCTCGAACAGTTGGGAAAACGTACACAACTTGGGAAAGAACGAAAATCTAGGTAGGCATTTCTCGCGCTGTAATTTGCCTCTTCGTTTTGTTGATCTTACCAATCTCAAATTCGATGTTCTCCAACAACGTGATTATTGCTAAGTACCTATATCCCAAATGAACAACATTCAAAGAAAAATATTTTTACATTTTCATTTTGAGAACGGGAACAGATTTGTTTCCGAAATGTCCAAAGATAAGTGAAAATTTGATAGTTATAATATATCTATTTTTCTTTTCTTCAACATTTTTCCAAAGTGTCACTGACAAGCTATCGGTGTTTTTTAGGCTCCCTCATAGAAACTGTTGTTAAACGCAGTGATATTTAGGGGCAAATCCTCTTTGTCCTACTACCATTGAACTCAATGTGAACAACTGGAAGGGAGACTGTCGTTTTCTCGAATAGCACAGTGTCTCAGGGGCAGCTGCAACAAAGATAGTTTGTGTTACGGTAACCTGTCTCTTTCACACTCGTGTTGTTTAATGGCGGATTGGTGTATACATTTTCTTTTATCCAATAATTGGAGAACTTGAGATCTTTTTTTTCATCTAAACAGACAAAAAAGGGTAGGCAGAACTTCATTGTCTTTTGTTATGTGAAATATCGCTAAATTTGGCGTGTTTTGTTTCTTCAGAAGGATTTGTTGGTGTGAATTGATTGTTGTTGAGAAGGTTTTTGATTTCGAATTAATAAACAATGGCTATTTATATTGTGTTGCCTTTGGATGCAAAACAAGCAAGACAAACATAATTTGTCCTTTATGGGTAAATTTGAAATTGTTCAGATGATCGATTCTTAAAATAACTATAGTAGTTTATTTTTAGGATGTGTCTGTGGATGTGTGTGTGGATGTT